TCGACGACCGCAACCTGCAACCCCTCCGGCTCTTCACCTGCGTCAGAAGCAGAAAATTGCTGCAAATTATCATAATTCACTAACTCTGCATAGCCCTCCACAGTTAGCGCTCCCGGCTGCAACGCCAAGCACCCGCCCGCACTGGCAGGGCGACAAAGGCGATCGAGAGCTTTTTCCAAACGGACACGGGACACCAAGAAGGGCACCCGCTGCTTGCGGTTTGGGTCTTTCGGGCAACGACGAATCAACAGCATCTTCATGTCGCCCACCACGGCCGGAATCTGACGCACATACTGTGGTCCATTTTGAAACAAATTCCCAACGTGGCCGCGCAGCTCGCACTGCCCAGTGGCATGCAGAGTGAAGATCCGCACAATGTGTTGAATCGGCGACAGCAGTTCCTCTTCAAAGAACGTCAAAGCATCCGTTTCTGGCAACGTGTCGCCAGGATCTGCAAAGTTCTCAGCAGTCAATCGAAATGGCTCCTTCGGCAAGCCATCTTGCGCTCGCTTTTTGGCTTCTTTTAAGCACATATCACAGATTGGTCTCTCGGGCTCAAGCCAATCTTTTTTCGGCATTTGCACAAAATTCGTTTTTTGGTAAGTTTGCGTTTCAAACTTCCCAGGCAACTGTGCTTTCGTCCGCTTGGTGCCAAACCCTCCTTCGTGACAATACGAGCAGTCTTGAAATTCAAGCTCGTTCAAAAAAGTATCGACTTCATTGACACGATGGAAAAAAGCCATGGTGCGGCTTTCGGCATCTGCGGAATTTCCGTACAGTTGTCGCAAACTCTTCGGCAACCTGGGCCGTGGCAAGTCATCTCCCAAGACTGTCTCCCGGCTATGCAACTTGGCTTCATGCGATTTCTTCAGCGGCACAGTGGCTGATGCTGGCAAGAGCTGTCCTAGGGCATTTCTCACCATCTCTTTCGTCTCCTCTGTCAGACTCGGAAACGTGCGTTGCATGAAGTCATAACAACAACGAAGTTCGGCATCTCCTTTCATGGCGTGCACTGCAAACAAGGATTCAACACTTGCTGCGCCCAAGGATTGCAATTCTACTTTTCTGCGATCCAGGATCTGCATGAACGTGTCTACCGAATCAACTGCTGGAACACACAACAATGTTTCCCATTCCTGCAACTTAGCCTTCATATCTTCATCAAGGTTTTCATACCTCCGTCGCCAAAAATTTCTGCCAAATACATATTCTGGCTTACCTGTACGCTCAGCTGCACACATGAGTTGAAGCAGCGTAGACTTCTGCATCCCTTGCAACTCTTCTCTGTTATCTTCAAGAATGTTGACGAAACGATCGAACTCGGGCTGCGCAGCTGCATGCTTCACACATACCCGCCGTTCCAAATCCTTCCACTTTTCCTTTTCTTCTTCATTCAAACTCTCATATGTGTAGTTCTTCACAAAACGATAACAAATGCCTCCCCAAGTTCTGCTCTGTGAAACAGTCCAACTCATGCAGACATCCCGCAATGTACCTTTTCCCAAAGCCTTCATCTCCTCTACGTGCGCTTCTGCAGCAGCACAAAACTTCCGAAAGGCTGCTCGCACATCTGACACGCAGTTTTGTTTTTCCCATTCTTGTATCACCTGAGTCTGTTCGGCCGAAAAGGTTTTCTCAAGAGCAAGATACATCTTGTAATACTTCCAACATTTTCCGGTGCTTAGACAAGCTTTCAACGTCTTACATTCCAGCACCTTCAAAGTCGCCGCTTCCTTTTCGATGTATGACCACAGATCAGCAAAGGTCCCCGATTGCGCCATGGCTCCACCGCGTCTTAGGAAATGGGCCGCACTGCCACGTCTCCTTGCACACTGCGACGTCCGATATTATGAATATGGCTGTCTCATCATGCATGCCTTTCTCATCCACTAACCACTCCAAAACATGAGAAAATCTTCGTGTCTAACCATGAGACCTGAAGACATGACACCTCTGACAAATGCACGTTCCCAAGTCTTTCTTGCTACACATGTTTGCCTCCTGGAAAATGAAAAAATCTGCGGCCACAACACATCGCCACCGTGGTTTCTAATCAAGAGTTCTATAACTTGTTCCTGGACATCAATGTCACAACCTTTACCTACATCAATATCGCACACAAAACTCGAAATAGCAACCTACATCCACGAACTAGCTGACAAACTACTTCCCAGTACAGACTACTTGGTACTACACAGCTTGCACCCAATACTACTTTGCACTACAAAGCTGGCAAAAATTACTTCCCAGTACTACTTTGTACCACAAAACTTGCACAGAGTACTCCCCAGTACTACTTTGTACTACAAAGCTTGCACAAAGTCTTTCCCAATATACTACAATTTGCAGCTCCAAAACTGGATCTCGACGCGAAAGCGAAAAAAACACGATTTTGAAACACTTTTTAAAAGCAATTTTAAAAGGAAAATTATTAACGCCAAAATTGAACAAATCTGCTGACAAATCACTTTCGCAGCCTTGATGCAGCCATTCCAATACGATGCGATCTTCAGCTGCAAAAGACAATAGTATTACGCATGCAGCCGCTGCACCAAGCAACCTTGAAGCAGCCACTACAATGCGATCTGCAGAGACTGAGTTGCAAAACACAAGAAAACTACATGCAATGGCATCGGAAATTGCAGCTCCAAAACCGGATCTCGACGCCAAAGCGAAAAAAAGACGATTTTGGTGCACTTTTTAAAAGAAAATTTAAAAGGAAAATTATTAGCACCAAAATTGGGAAAATCTGCTGACAATTCACTTTCGCAGCCTGGATGCAGCCACTCCATACGATTTACAATCTTCAGCTGCAAAAAACAATAGTATTACGCATGCAGCCGCTACACCAAGCATCCTTGACGCAGCCACTCCAATGCGATCTGCAGAGACTGAGTTGCAAAACACAATAGAACTACGTGCAATGGCGTCGGAAATTACAGCTCAAAACCGGATCTCGACAACAAAGCGAGAAAAAGACGATTGCAACATCATGCAGCCATTCCAATGCGATCTGCAAGCACAGATTCCAAAACACCCTATAACTACGCACACAACACCCTATAACTACGCACACAAACAAGCACACCCAAAGCAGCTTGAAGCCACCGTCACACTGCGGCAAAAAAAAACGATAAACCGACCCCAGCCGCACCCGTCGCACAGACGAGGTACCTTTCATCGCCGGCCGCAGCCACTTTACACGGAAAAACACAAGGTTTCGCGCTCCGGCTTCCTCCCCAAAACAAAGCCCTTGCAACATCATGCAGCCATTTCAATGCGATCTGCAAGCACAGATTCCAAAACACCCTATAACTACGCACACACAAGCACACCCAAAGCAGCTTGAAGCCACCGTTACACTGCGGCCAAAAAAAAAACGATAAACCGACCGCAGCCGCACCCGCCGCACAGACGAGGTACCTTTCATCGTCGCCTGCAGCCACTTTACACGGAAAAACACAAGGTTTCGTGCTCTGGCTTCCTCCCCAAAACATAGCCCATGCAACATCATGCAGCCATTCCAATGGGATCTGCAACCACAGATTCCAAAACACCCTATAACTACGCACACACAAGCACACCCAAAGCAGCTTGAAGCCACCGTGACACTGCGGCAAAAAAAAAACGATAAACCGACCGCAGCCGCAACCGTCGCACACACGAGGTACCTTTCATCGTCGCCTGCAGCCACTTTACACGGAAAAACACAAGGTTTCGTGCTCCGGCTTCCTCCCCAAAACATAGCCCATGCAAGATCATGCAGCCATTCCAATGCGATCTGCAACCGGAGATTCCAAAACACACTATAACTATGCACACACAAGCACACCCAAAGCAGCTTCAAGCCACCGTTACACTGCGGCAAAAAAAAACCGACCAACCGACCCCAGCCGCACCCGTCGCACACACGAGGTACCTTTCATCGCCGGCTGCAGCCACTTTACACGGAAAAACACAAGGTTTCGTGCTCCGGCTTCCTCCCCAACTCACCACTTCCCTTCCTCACCACTTCCGATCGTCACCACTTCCCATCGTCACCACCTCCCTTCGTCACCGCTTCCCTTCCTCACTACTTCCCTTCCTCACCACTTCCCATCGTCACCACTTCCCTTCGTCACCACTTCTCTTCGTCACCACTCCCCTTCATCACCACTTCCCTTCTCACCACTCGTCACACTTCCCTTCTTCACCACTTCCCTTCGTCACCACTTCCCCTCACCACTTCCCTTCGTCACCACTCCCCTTCATCATCACTTCCCTTCTTCACCGCTTCCCTTCGTCACCACTCCCCTTCATCATCACTTCCTCAAGGTCAATTTCATAGCTTCTTATTCTTTTGTTATGTATTGGTACATTATGTATTGTTATAACATTATGTATTGTTATATTATGTATTGTTATATGATCTACCACCCTTCCTCAAGGTCAATTTCATTGCTTCTTATTGGTTTGTGATGTATTGGTACATTATGTATTGTTACAGGATCTACCACCCTTCATCATAGTCAATTGCACCAAGTAAAAAGTCATTCGTAACTCGGAAATTGCTTCCCAACTTCCTTTGAAAATTGCTTCCCAACTTCCTTTGATAACTGGGATTGTACATTCCATCAATGGGGTGACTTAGTACTTGTAACCGGTATTTGGGGCCATAAGTGTGCTAACTCATCATAAATCATATTTATTCATATTTAAAAATGGGCCATGGCTTCCATAAAAACAGGTATAATTATAGCCAGAGGGCACATAGGGATAAACGGTTCAACCATGTCTCAGGTGATAGTATTCAGATGTATTCAGTAATGTATCCATTTGAAAACCAGCATAATCACTTGCTGGTTGGTGGTTTCAAACCCTCTGAAAAATATGAAAGTCAGTTGGGATGATTATTCCCAATGTATGGAAAAATAAAATTCATGTTCCAAACCACCCACCAGCTTAAAATGATTCAGGTCATATGGGGGTCAGCCTTTGGCCCCGTTTGGCTTGTTGCTGGCCTCCCGGCCGCCGGTGAGTTTGGCCGCCATCAGCCCCGTGGTCTGCTCGTGGCGGAGGAAACGCAGGCGACAGGCGGGGTCCTGGAGCCGGCGCCACGGGGGTGGAGAGTTGGTGGGAAGATATGGTAAATGTTCATGAAAATCATCATTTTGGATAGGTAAATCATCAAAAATCCTCTAATTATAACCAATTATAATAACCCTATTACCCTCTGGTAATTTAACATAGCTATCGAAAATCACCATTTTTAGTAGGTAAACCATCTATAAATGGGCCATATCTATAAATGGTCCATATATGTGTATATCTGGGTAAATTATCATATTTCACTAACCTGAATATATATATATATATGCTCAGCCCCCCCCAACGACCCCCCTCAACCCGCCATCTGCTTCACTATGCTTGACTTGTGTCTGCACAGAACCACGTTGAAGTCACCAACGAGTCGACCCTGCCGCAGCAGCATCACTTTTGCTAAGCTGAGGTCTTATGCTGCTGTGAAAACTGCCTCTACGCACCAATCGCTAATAGGAAAATTTTTGCGCTTGAGACTTTCCTACTAACATTTTTTCTAAAATTTTGAAAGACTAGTATATTTTACATTGCATTGTCGAAGAAGCAAATGCGATGATCCAGGAAGCAGTTTGGAATTGAAATGGCTGAGTTGAAGCTGGACAGATGCATGAATGACAGACAGGTCAAGGCAGTAGTTTGGATTTGAAACAGTTCAGTTACGGATTGGCAGATGCATGAGTGACAGACAGTGTTTGCATTTAAGAAATATTGGAGAAATTATGAGTTTTCATATTCTTATAATCTTCTGGGGTCACTCCATGAAACAATTAAAAAAAAACGAAGAAGCAAATGCGATGATCCAGGAAGCAGTTTGGAATTGAAATGGCTGAGTTGAATCTGGACAGATGCATGAATGACAGACAGGTCAAGGCAGTAGTTTGGATTTGAAACAGTTCAGTTACGGATTGGCAGATGCACGAGTGATAGACAGTGTTTGCATTTAAGAAATATTGGAGAAATTATGAGTTTTCATATTCTTATAATCTTCTGGGGTCACTCCATGAAAAAACAAAAAAAACCTTGAGAAAACCAAAAAAACCAAAAACAACAAAAAAAACAATATTTTCAGACTCTTCTGGGGTCACTCCATGAAAAAACCAAAAAAACCTTGAGAAAACAAAAAAAAACAAAAAAACCAATATTTTCAGACTCTTCTGGGGTCACTCCATGAAAAAACCAAAAAAACCTTGAGAGAACCAAAAAAACCAATATTTAGAAACTATCTCGAGGGCCCCCCCCCCAAAGAATCGCTAAATATTGTTTTTTTTGTTTTTTTTGGTTTTCTCAAGGTTTTTTTGGTTTTCTCAAGGTTTTTTTGGTTTTTTCATGGAGTGACCCCAGAAGAGTCTGAAAATATTGTTTTTTTTGTTTTTTTTGGTTTTCTCAAGGTTTTTTTTTGGTTTTTTCATGGAGTGACCCCAGAAGAGTCTGAAAATATTGTTTTTTTTTGTTTTTTTGTTTTTTTGGTTTTCTCAAGGTTTTTTTGTTTTTTTCATGGAGTGACCCCAGAAGAGTCTGAAAATATTGTTTTTTTTGTTTTTGTTTTTTGTTTTCCCGATGTTTTTTTGATTTTGGGCCGGCGGTCAATTGTGTTTCTATGGGGCCTTCCCCAAAGTGCCTTAAGATATTGTATTGTTATGACTATATACGAAGAAGACAAAAATGGAATACTAAAAATACGCATTTTATGCTGTAAATAACAATACAAATGACACATTGGGGGGTCGTAGGGGGGGGGGTGACCATATATATATATACGGCTGTCAAAACTCATCGATGCAAGCACTTGACGAAATCAACACTCATGAAATATCGTGATTAACTATTGAAGTCAAAATGGGGTATCGCTATTTGGAAAGGTCCCATCGCTAGCCTCAGTTTTTTGCGTTTTCTGAAAATCAATGTCCAGCCAATACATATCTTAGTATCTTAGATGCGTGCTTGGAAACATCTCCCTTTCTTGGTTGGTTGGCTCTTGGTCTATCTTGCTCAGTTAGCACCCTGATTGCTCAGCGAAACTGGAGCCAGTTGTGAATTCAGACCAACTATTGAAATCCAGACTTTGTCTGGTTGTTGTTTCAGCTCACCATTCCTCATTCCAATATTCCATTGAATCTTCTTATGTGTCCAACCAGATTGCCAACGTTAGAAACATTCACTAACCGTAAGTTGCTGTCCTTTGATATACCCTGCAAAAAAAGTTCATTTCATACCCCTTCTCCATGATTCTATGGCGAACAGAAACCACGCAACGCTGAGTCCACATCATATGAGGGGTGTTCAAAATCCCTCTATCATTCCATTATACCGGTTGGTTTATAGGAATTCCCCTATTTGATTATTCTAATCCCCAATATATAAAGGGTAGTATAATCAATGGGAGATCTTCAGGATCCTAAAATGGAGGTACGTTAGTACCATATTTTTGGCCATATTTTGCTGGGATATTCCCTGAAATTTTGGCCTGAAACATAGGGGTTTTCAACACTCATGTGCTCCTGATCCAAGCGTTTCTCGTCTTTCTGAAACAATTCTTCCAATGGAGGATCGGATCCATCGTCCACCACAATGATCTCCTGCGGATGAGAACGCAGGGGGAAGCCGGTTCTTTGATGAGTTCATACATCCGAGCAAAACCACAAAAACGTGTTTGAATATATGGGAAAACCCAATAATTTTGGATGTTTCATGGGGTCACCCCTTTATTTTTTGCATGTGGGAATCTCTATGTGATTCAATGGAGGTTTCCTAAAAAGTCATGGCGGTACCACCAGTCATCATCCAGCTATTTGGGTATTGGATGAATCACCATTGCAGCAGCTCACCATTATATAAACATGTTGGCTTCTAGAAAACCCCATTACAGTAACTATATTAAGTATACCCTCCAGTAAATTAACATAGATCCTGCCAGTCATCGGGGTTGGAAGACTAGTTTCCACTATAAATTGGTGATTTTCAGGGTCTATGTTAATTTACCAGAGGGTATCATTTACTTTTGTACATTGCCAATCAGCCAGATACCCTGTAAAAAAAATCTTTGCTGGTGAACGTCGATAATCTCATTGATCCCAAAAGACTAGTTAGGATTAAACTACCCATCTAAGACCAAAGGATTGGGACTTTTTGGCTCCGGTAGAGTTGTTGAAACAGAAAAAGAACCTTTATTTTTCGTCTGACAGTATAGAACTAAACAAGGAACATGAATATGATGTACATACTACAATGTGGGCCCCCCCAGTGATGTTAGATGGTCTATAACCCCCATGAAGACTATAGTTATTTGCGTATCATAAACCATAGTGAAATTGGAGTTATTTGCGCCAATTTAGCTATCCAGGGAGCCCCACATTGTAGATATGATGACTTTTTTCAGCATGCATCACCAGTGGGATCATCACCATGACGGTAGCCATAATGTAAAGCAATAGGCAATAGATGGCAATAGGATCCACATATCCACCATCCCCAATTCTAGCATTTTTCTTGGATATAAAGCATCAATCCATATGGGTGGTTTGTTATTTTACATGATTTCAATGGGATTTTTATGGGATTTATCCTCTGATAAACCAAGATATCTATTGAAAATGGCCCAATCGAAATAGTTGATTTACCCATTAATAGCATGGTGATTTTCCATAGTTTTTTGTATGTTTACCAGAGGGTAACATCCCATTATTATCACCATGTATATCCCAACAAAAACCCTATTGCAAGTCAATCCATGGATATTCCCACCATATTCTCATTAATCAGTATCCATTAACCATTGGTCATCATTGATCACTAATCACCATTGATATCCCAGTCATATGCCATCATTGTCCTTATGAAAATGATGAAAAACCATGATTTTCCCATGATCTTCCCATGATTTTCGGAAACACCATGCGAAACCAACAACGAAACAAAACCGATGGAACATCTCCGCATGCTCCGCCGGCCTTCAAGACCTCTGCTGGTGTGCGACGGCAGAAGCGCTCGACCGTCCAAATGGCCTGTTTGGGCCGGAATTCTTTGAGGTGGTGCAGCAAGGTTGTTCTTATACAATGTGGGGCCCCCAAAACGTGATGTGAATGATGTGAATGTTGGTTTATAGACCCCATGAAAAGTATAGTTATATATATACATACCATAAACCATGATTAAGCCACTAGTGATGTGAATATTGCTTTATCAACCCCATGAATCCTATGGTTATAGGATGTTATAGGTACCATAAACCAGTTCGTGAAATTGGAGTTATGAACGCACCAGCTGAACGCTATCTATCGGAACAACGGGGGCCCCACGAGTTGTATCAGAACAATGGGGAGTTCATGGGATCCCGACGGGTTCTGGCCCAAAATACAAGTGACCCTCTGGTTATGACTAACAGCAATAGCCAGGGAAAGATCCACCCATGAAATTAAAAACGCTAAACCATCTATTTCGATTAGGGCCATCTATACCAACCATCCATAAATGGGCCATCGAAAAACCATGGCGAACTGTTAGTCATAACCAGAGGGTTTTTTAGCCAGCAAGTCACCCCATTTATGGGATGATCACCCCTTTTTTTTCACCATGGAGTCCTAAGCTGGTTGGTGGTTTTTTCGCCTAGCCCTTCTGAAAAATGATGCTTGGTGAGTGAAAGTCAGTTGGGGTGTCCTGAAATTCCCAACTGAATGGAAACATACAAAATGTTACTATTATTAGATTCCCATCAATGCCATTAATCACTGTTAATCACTATAAACCACCGTTAATCACTATTAACAATTAAGGTAACCAAACCACCAAGCAGTAACTGGTAAAGGGCTTTAACTGTAGGGGAATCTAACGAATCTAACATGAAGGAACATCAAAATTTAAGCAACAAACTGAAGGGATTCATCCTGAAACCATAGCTAGCCTCCTTGTCATCAAAGATTTCTGGCTGCTAGGGTTATCAAAATCCCCCCCAATAGGTAGCATAATCCTTTGTTATAGCCAGTCAACAAAGGTATATTAACCATCAATCACCATCAATCACCATCATTAACCATGATCTATCAACTATATCCTCCATATCTTCGATAGTGAAACAAACCTCAAAAAATCGACCATCAACTGGCCATGGCTATTAGTTATAGCTGGTGATTATATATACATAAACCATATATAAAAATGGGGTTTAATGGTGATTTTCATAGTGGCTTAGTGGTGATTTTCATCGTGGTTGAATGGTGATGAATAGTGGTTGATAATGGTCAATAGTGGCTAAGCATGTGATTAATGATGGTTATGACTGGTTATTTAATGGGATTATACATGAACCATTTTTATGGGGTGACTTGTTAATACTTATGACTGGTATTTCGGCCATAACTGTGGACATTTCTTCCCAAGGCTTTTTAGGCCCCCCTGGTTCTTAGTGCAGCCAGCGGTGCATTCTGCCGTTCTTCCGCACAGGGGAGCACCACCGAGATGGTCTCTGCCAGTCCTGGCGATGTTTTTTTTTTTTGTGGCGGCAACTTGGAGATGACTATTCATAAAATATGTTTATATAGTAGTGATTAGTATATGATAGCTTAAATTAACTATAAGTAAAATGTGATCACTTGATATATAGTTATAACTATTCATCTTTAGTAAACCCCCAAAAGAAACGTGTTTTGTAATGCACCTGGGAAACTGACTAACCAGTATTTTTCCAACTCCTTTGATGATCTTCCAATTACCCTGATTTTGTTTGCTGCCTGGGTGAAGGATTGAAATCTAGAAGATCTGCAAACTTGAGGTATTCATCTGAGATTTTCCAAACATGGATCAAACAAGACTGTTTACTCAAACACCACGTCTGGTTTTGCGATTTAACATCACATTTCCTCATAAATTGGTGGTTTTGTTTGTGACATCCTCATGCAAAACAAGGCATGGTGACACACTCCCTGCGCAAGAAAAACATGTTCCCACTGAATAATTTCGAACACATTGAAAACAATACAAACAAATACAATCTATTAAAGTTTATCCGATTGTCGAATCACATTCTCATTGTGGTTAATGTGGTAACCCATTAACCAACCACCTGGGGCTCATTTTACATCCTAAATGGGGGTACAATGTGGGCCCCCCCAGTGATGGAACGATGGTTTATAAACCCCATGAATACTAGTTCGTTATAGGTACCATAAACCATGGTTATTGGAGTTATAAACCATACAAGGTGGTGCTCCCCCAGTCATAAGTTGGTTTATAACCATAATAAGTATAGTTATAGGTACCATAAACCATAGTGAAATTGGAGTTATGTGCACCAACTGAACGCTATCTATCGTCAACGGGGGCACCATTTAGCTATCAGTATACCCAATAAGAACCACTGCTGTCAGAACATGGGCTCATCAAGTCACAGGTATCCCAGAAGGTATAACATGCCCCCCAAATGGCCATGGCTATGAGTTATAACTGGTTATTTCAGTGGGATTATATATACATTTTATCAATGGGGTGACTTCTTAGTACTTATAACGGGTACAACTCGGGCCATTTCACTGGTATTTCGTTATATCCTCAATTTGAACCCCAGTTCACGGAGTCATGTTCACCAAATCTTCAACTCTAAGATTCAACTTCCCTTGGAGTCGTTTCTTTGGAACCGGAGGCCGGAGGCATTTTCTTTGCTTAAATGTGGCCAGATTCTGGCCACTCCGTGAGAACTTCTGATACGCCTGGACTGCTTCGAACGCAGTTCAGTTGAAAGAAGTCTGGACGCTGAGTTCCTTTGAAAGGACTCTGTTGTCCAGAACCTGCCTGATCCATCAAACTCCAGGTGAAATCAGTTTTGCCCCAGCATTTGGAGTCCTCATATTACAAGGGACAATGAAAGTTCACACAAAGGTTTTGTCGAAGGTAACCCTTTGCCAGGCATGGCACCACCTCAAATCGATTCCTTCACTGCTATCGGAGGCGCTGCAGGAGTTGTAGTTATAAGCTTTGCAGGTTAGCTTCACGGAGCAGGCTTTCACATACTTTGGCAGCCTCTTCAGCTTCTTTTCTTGGAAGTTGACAACCAAGGGCTTCCCATTAATTGTTGGTTACTCTATTTTTCGCTGGTTTTCAACCCCAGATGTTGGTAAAATCTCAATTGTGTCACCATACATTGAAAGATCCACATGGATTTTGCCTGGCTTGGATTTGCTTCCAGAACCACCCCCAAAAAACATATTCCCAAACACGATTCCCCGTGGATCTTGCATTGGGAAAATAAAACATAATCTGCAGCGAATCCAAGGCAAATCTTGCGGGTTCAAATGAGCCATTAAAATTTTACCCTTATCCCATCTGATTATACTAGTTGGTTGATAGGATTCTCCACTATGCTATGGGTTATCATAATCCTCAATCATTTAGGTGGTATAAGTCCCTAGGCCCTAGTTCTTAACCAATCAATCAACCAGGGTAATTTTAATGGTTCAAATGGACTATAAATCACTATAATCACTATAAAAATCACTATAAATCACTATCAACATCATTATTTATGGCAATTAACTACTCTTCATCACTATTAATCCCATTACAGTACATCCAGCCAGGTTACACCCAACATCCGCCAAAAAAGCGCCTGCATCCGCCAATTCTCCGCCAAAGGCATCCGATGCCACCGTGCTGGGTACGTGGTGCTCCTCAAAAACATGCTGAGAATTGGGGATGGGTCCCAAATATGTGTCAATTCTAATGGCTTTAATGGAGCTAAGTTGAAAAATCCTTGGATTTGGTACCCCCCAAACACCGCCCAAGAATTTGGGCAAAACACTGGTCTTCAAGCAGCAACATATGAATTTAAAATCATTTTGCTGGAGACTTGGTCCACCGCTGCACCAGTTGCTTGACTGGCGCTGTGGGTAACATCCCATCTTCTTGTTCTTGTTGTTGTTGTTGTTGTTGCTGCTCTTCTTCTTCTTCTTGTTGTTTAACAGTTGACTAAATATCTTCACATTGCTCCAAATTTCCATCCTGTTTCATTGAAATTTGCATATGTCCTTAAAGTGCTGTGATTGTCAAATATATATGTGTATATATATAATTATGTATATATATATATTCATCCATCCAACTGTAGGTTTATCCATAGATTCAGATCCTGGTTATTGACCAAGAGAAACCCATCACAAAGCCAGCCATGAATACACGTGTTGTTGATTGATTAAAACATGTTTTTTGCAGGCTTAATTCTCTTTATACACCATAACGCCAGTTGGTTGTCAACACCAAGAGAAACAATGGGATTCATAAATGAACCAACAATTGCTGGATTTATGATAGTCATATTCCATTCGCTCAATCATCATTAATCCCATCATATCCAACCTTTGTAGTAAATCACAATCCTTATTCATCTCTATTAATCCTTCCGAAATTCCCCTTAATCCCTAATAAATCCCCATGTTCAATCCTCATCTAAAGCTAATTCCCTCCATCTCCAACCCACCGGGCCGGGGCCTCCTCCAACACGGCCTCTGCCTCTTCCCGCCGCCGCGGAGCTACATGTAGCGGATGCATCACTTCGGGCAGCAAAGTCAATAGGAGGATGGTGGCTTGGGCGATCCATAACCTGGGCTCCATGGGAAAGTCACGGGAAAATATGTGGAGAAAATAATGTAGGGTGAACACATAAAATGACTTGACAAAAAAAAGAATTGTGTTAGATATGAGGTTATTGTAGTAACATTAAAATGTAGTCTTCTTGATAGATGTATATATACAACAGGTTTACAAAGTGAATATATATATATAAAGTATTGAATGTTGTGGGACGATCATTCATTGTGGGACAAAGTTAAGATGAGATACTGATGCGATGCTCTCCAATGACATCAATAAGTTTCCATCATTGCAATGGAATAGATTGGTTTATCAGCAAACATCAATCAGAATATAGTGGGCATGCAATGGGATATCATGAATAGGTGAATAGGTAAACGGCTAATGATCCCATTATCATTGCCCAATGGAGCCCATTCTATCATCACAAAATCTTTGGTTGATTTTCCAAGTATCACCATACATTGAAAACTACAAGTGATCACCAATTCTACATGGTTTTTCCAAGTTATCCCTATGTCTTTTACAAGTTTTCCATCTTTTGATGGTTAACTCCATTCAATCATCCGATCAGGATCCCCGTTTTTTCACACCGTCTTTTTTTCACATAAAAATCTCCTGTGCTGGATTAAAATCGCCACTTTGTTGGTGCAATAATGTGTAATATATAATTAAATATAATATATATAATATGTATATATATATAATTATCTCATAAATAAACAATTTCATAATGAAACAGGACCTGCCGTTGAATGGATATGGACGACCGTACAGCATTCCTTTTCTTCACACACATCTCGCTCTAGCGTTGTGAGGCCAGCAATTTGGGAGTGAAGTTTCAGGGATAAACCCTGGTGAGCGGCTTGCTCCAGCTCTTCAGCTTCGTCCAGCTTCGTCCATTTTTATGTAGGCATGCACCGCTAGTTCAGAACGGCTCGTGAGCCGACGAAGTGACGATAGTTCTTGGCATGCTGTTTTTTTTCGTCTCTTTTAGATAACGGATATGCAACACGAGGCCGTTATAGCTTCAGTTCCTGTCTAAGTGGGATGATCTTCTAGCCTTAAAATCATCATTTTTAAAGGCCCAACTGTACTTCCAAGGAAGGCGCGTCCGGATGTTCATTCCCCTTCCCAAAAATAGAGGTTTCACATATGGGTCTGTCTGAAAATGGTGTTTTACTACCCCCAAAAAGGTACTTTCAATAGGGGAAATGATGATTAAACCAATGGATTATTTTCAGACAAATCCATAGCCCCCCCAAGGCCGCCCAGGTGTGAGTTGCTTTTTAAATCCATTCACCCGACTTTATAAATTCCATCATAAACCCGAAGTGACCTAGTCATGAACCAACCTATTGTAGAAGCACCACCTGGCACTACATCCCCATTCTGGGTGGTAGTTTTTCTAGCAATATCCATATCCCAATTATGGGTGGTAATTCTCCCATTCTTAACCAAAAGCAATGATAGTAAGAATAGTAATTAATAGTGGCGAATGAATCCCAATTAACATTGTTATCATCTGCTAGAATACTTCAAACAGTTTCAGAAAGGAACCCTCCAGCAAAACAAACAAACATATAGATTCCCCAAATGGAAGATGTCCTGGAAGAAAGAAACAATCAATGGGGATTTCAGGATCCTAAAATGGAGGTACTGTACCATATAAGGCCATATTTTGTGGTGATATTCCCTTACATTGGCCTAAAACATAGGCCTTATATGGTAGGTACCTCCAATAAATCGGTTCCTGAAATGGCCATTGAAACAACATCACGTTCAACAAACCCAGGGATTCCTTTTTAGAATCTGTGCTTCCCCACAACAACAGCAAGGGTAGGAAGCGCAGCCACGAGCGTCGCTTCCCGAGCCACACAGCCTGGATATAGGGGTTTGAGCAGTAGAAGTACCCAGAGCTCCCAAAACCTCTGAAAAGGTCGGTCCATTTTGAAAGTACCGGCTTTTACGTACTTTTTATCAAAACAACGGTTCCCCTGCAAAAACCCATAAACCTTCATTTCATATATTTTGATTTGCTTGGTTTGCAGACACAGCCACTGACGATGAAATTAAGTGAAAATCAAAGATCAAGACTAACAAGTAACCAACCCATGCCAGCTAATATCAATAAAAGGGCAGGGTCAGGCCTCAGGTTTGCGTAGAAAGCGGCTGCTATTAGAACTTGAAAACCACTGTGGATTCGAACTTTGGATCTTCGAGTGGGAAAATGCAGTCGATTATTGCTATTCAACCCTTTTTGTTTCGAAGCTGGGAGATGACAATTTGGACATCCAGTGTGCAATTTGTTGAAAATTTGTTAATTTTCTATGCCCTGGGATGGTGAAAACATGGGGACCCCAACATTTTCCCGTACTTATCCCGTATTTACCCCGTACTAAACCCGTATTTTCGAATTTTGAATAAAACCCCGGCTTTCAAAAGCCCGTAATTAACCCGTAAAAAAACCGCAATTAACCCGTGGGAACCCGTAAAACAAATATGGGTTTTTGGGGTCTGGCCCGTAGGCTGCCATAATAGGGTTTTAGGCCCACTGATGGTCTTTGCACGGACAAATTTCATGAGAAAACGGGTCGCTTGCTCATCGTGAAATATTTATTTGCAAATACACGATTCAAGTTGTTGTGTATGTTCCTGGTATGCAAAAATTGACATTGTTTGTCGGAGCATTTTCGTCGAAGGAAAGTTGTAGATCATGCATTTGAGAAATGTAGGAACAGTTCCCCAACAAAGTCTCTAGCCCGGCACGACACAAGACCACTGGCAGCATGCTGATAACTACATTGTTGATTTTTGAGCATCAAAGGCAAGACTTTATGGGAAAGTGCACTAATGGAAAAATTGGGAAATTCAAAAACCCGGGTTTTTGGATAAAACCCCGTCTTTTTCCGATGTACCTGCCTTTTTAGCCGTTTTGGGTTCCCCTGGTAGGGGTATCACCAAGAAAACTATGGGAATGTAACAATGTGAGGCCCCCAAGATAGCTAAGTTGGTTTATAACTCCAATTTCACTATGGTTTATGGTACTTATAACTATACTATAGTTATTAGAGCTTATAAACCAACTAACATCACTGGGGGGCCCACATTGAATTAATATTTCATGACTTTTACATACTTTTGCCAACAACCATCCATGATCCATGTGGGATGAAAAACTCACCAACATGGGGTGAGTTAGCCATCGAAGAAATAAGGGTATCACTAGACGGGATATGAGGGATTTACCAACTACTCCCTGCCACATTTGAGGTGCCACATTTGATGTAACATCGGCAAACAAAATGAAACATAATGGGAATATGACATATTCCAGACAATATGTTATTCTACTAATATTACTTGAGACATACTGGGAATTTGACATAGTAATGTACTGTGACATAAACTCAATATGACAATAAATAATATTGTTCCACCAATAATAAATATTCTTAGAAATCCAGACTTTGGAATTGAATTTACGAATGAATTGGTGGGTAGGAAGGTCTTTAGATGATGGGGAATTGGATTATGCAGGTCAATTTGAAACATCATGTTATATTATTGTATATTACCCTCCGGTAATTCAACATAGTGTAGCTATGGAAAATGGACCCTCTAAAGTGTACCATCTACGTATTCAAAATGGTGAGTTTCCATTGCAAACAGTAACAAATAACCAGAGGGTATCATTTTTTGTTCTTGATCTCACAAAAAGCCTAATGGTCCAAAGGTGAATCAGTAAATCCAATCTCCAAAATTTCCCTGGACATTATATCTTAATCAAACTTTCAGTTGGCATATTTCTATCCTTTCATCATCTGCCCATGACATGTTCATTTTAAACAAATGCCAACAAAAATCACCAACAGTATATATATATATTTATACATGTATGTATGTATGTATGTATGTATGTATATATATATATATACACGTTTTTTTTTGCGAAATCTCCCGTTTTTCGGGCTGAAACACAGGCAATCTGTAACCCCCCATGGCTGAAGAGCGCCTCAATCAACAAGGCAGCTAAGGACAAGGGCCACAAGGCGAGGTGTGGCAAATGCCAGGGAGCACCTGCCCCAGTTCGTTCGCGTTCAGTTGGTGCAAATAACTTATATAATAACTAATAACAATAGTCTATGATATTTATAAGAACATTTAGTTATGTATCAACTATTGTTATTATAGTAATAACTGGGGTAAATAAGCAATTCGTTACTTAGTTATTATTTTACTTATGAGCTTATGAAGCAACTTGTAATAACCGGCGGGCACCATCCTGAAATTTGCGGGTCACCTCTGGGGAATTCGTTACAGTTTGCGAAGTGGAAAATCCACCCATATTCAATAGGCAAATCATCAATCATTTGGCAATTTTCCATAGCAATGTTGAATTAGTGGAGGGCAAATAGATGCAAATAGTATAGTTCTACCCTGCTTATTAGCCATGTTCCATTTTCTTTCTTGAATGTGCCCAAGACATTTTTACCATATGTCTTGCTGGTGGGTGATTTCAAGCACGCGAAACATACAGTAGTTGTCAGCTGTGGATCATTATCACGGGTAGGAATGAAAACTGAACAATCAAACCAACAACAAAATTTGTTGGTCCATAGCACAGTTTTTGTTAGGCCTATTTCTCCCATGTCCATTTCTTGTTGGGAAAATCTAATCAAACATGGCAATGCAAACCTACCCATTTATGGATGATTTCCCATTAAAGCCTCTGGTAAACTAAGATAACTATTGAACATGGTCCATTTATAGTTGATTTACCTATTAACAATGGTGATTTTCCCATCAGTTTTTTGTATACCAGAGGGTAAAGCCTCCATTGAAATAGGGGATTTCCAATTGTCATGACTGCCCGAGGGTCAAGTCCCATGTATTGGCCCTTTTGAATCTCTATGATTTGGTGGTTAGATGCACATATCAACGCATGCATTGATGATAATCCATACATTACCCTCTGGTAAACGAACATAACTATGGAAAATCACCATTTTTCATGGTAACAATCACGAAATAAATGGTGATTTTCCATAGTTACGTTAAATTACCAGAGGGTATATATCAATGATGGCTTAGTTTTAGGTTGCGTAATCCTGATGTTCATGGGCAGAATTGCGCAAGCTATCTGAACAGTTTTACCTCGTGAATCTTTAGATACCTGCCAACAAGTCCAAGTTTTTGCTGTTTAGTACATTTTAGAGTACTAAAAAATATCATGGTGATCTATGACATTGTTGGTGTTATATCTATTCTGCTGGGTGTTTGCTGGTGTTATATCTATTTTATATCTACCATAAACCATAGTATTACCATGATATTTGGTTGACAGCAAAAGATTAGAGTAATTACTAAACTTACTGGTGCTGAGTAGGGAATGAGGAATGATCCATCATCACTAGTAATAATCATCCCAGCAACCCCCATTCCCATCCATTCCCTGCGTTTAGCACCAGTAAGTTTTCCTGGATGTGAATAAACCCCCAAATATCATGGTAATACTATGGTTTATGGTAGATATAAAATAGATATAACTATAGTTATGTATCTAACCGAGGTCCTAAGGTTGATCCACAGGTTTACTGACGCCCATCACCTGCCAGTTGCCACAGGAGAACGGCCACAGGGATCAAGAAAATCAGCAGCTGCCGAAGCATCGCATCACGCGGATCGGGGGTTCCACCCGCCGGAGATGCTGTATGATCATTGACCTATTGATTGTTGAGGAAACACCATATTAATACTGTAAACCAAGCAAAAAAACTTTAAGGACCTTGGAAACATGGCTTTTTGACAGCACTCGTTGGTCCTTTGAATATGAAGATCTGCACATATCTGCACCATATGTTGGGTCAACAAAACAACTTGAATGTGCAGCGATTCAGAGCTTGCTGAGCTGATATCTATGTGTTGGGTTGGGATCATGGCCAATCAGCCAGAGGGCCCCTGCAAAAAATGACTTAGCTGGTGAGTGAACGTAGATATTCCCATGTAGATACCAAAAGACTACTTAGGATTAGTTAAAGTACCCATCCAGCCGATTGACCTAGATCACTGGGGTATATAATTTCTTGATTAACCACTGTCAAACTAGTCATTTTGGTATTAATGGCCATGCAGCCGATTGACCTAGGGATAGTCATTATTTTATTGGCCATTCAAAATGGGATTTTGTAAGATTCAACCCTATGGATCCAGCATGATTCAGCCGCATCTTCGGAAGTACGACGTTCCTTCGCAGGAAGCTAACGTGGATCTCCCCTTCATGATGTTCTCATTAATATTCCCCATAATGGGAGTATAGTAACATAGATGTATTGCGAAAAAAAAACATGGGGATACCGAATATGGGGATTTAGCTAAGCTACCTGGAGATATAACCCGCTTCTGATCCAGTTGGCTTACGGGCTTTACACACAGCTGCGGAAAGCGGAAAACACCACGAGTGATCCATGTCCAAAATCCGTAATGTCATTCCATGAATGAAATGCTGGTTGGCTAGACCGGAATTCCCAGCTCATGAAAGATGATTTGTTTCGCAATGTGTATATTAGATAAATTTGGATATTATATATATATATATTATACTGTAGATATAAAGGGTAGCAATGGGTAGTATATATATATATCCACATGGCTGATGGTACATAGTCATCCACAGAACAGCATCAAAGGCAGCTCTGAAATCAACTCAGGTGGTAACAATAACATGGGGTACCGAAGTTGAGTACAGATTTACATAGCTACCCATTTCTGGTGATCTCCTTTTGGTATTGCCACCCCTAAAGTTCAACATCAAACCTACACATTTGCCGGCTGATTGATCACGATTGATCTGAATCTTTGGATTTCCATCTTTGAATTTAAAGAATTTAGTTGGCTAACTGGTCTTACAATCTGCTGTATAACTTGGCTAACCAGGGTTTCTGGTACATCTTTCTATAGTGGGATAGAGGTATCATCAAACATATAACTGGAGGCTGGGGGGTTGGGCGCCATTGTGGGTTGTATTGTAGCAGTCCCAAGAAAGATGCCAAACAGTTTCCAGGATGTTTTAGATAATGGTTCCTCCATAATTTGCAGGTGTACAACGTTTCCATCAACTTTGGGGTTGCTAAAAAAAATGATCCATCTCAAGATCCCGTTTTTGTCCGTTTTTTGTCGGTCAATCCGTGCAATTCCCCCATTTAAATCATTTGGCTTTGACAGAAAATCAATTGGAACATCCCTTAAATCCACTGGTTCGTCATCATCTTTATATCGATATTCAGAATTGTCGTTTTGGGGTACCCTCTGGTAATTTAACAAAAAGCTATTGAAAATGACCATTTATAGTGGATTTTCCCATAAACAATGGTGATTTTCCATAGCTATGTTGGTTTACCAGAGGGTATATCCCATTTTCAGACATACCCGTATCTATCATTCATTGGTCAAATCGAAATTTTGCGGATTGGTTTCACCGTTGATGGTGAAATCACTATTTTTCTGGTTGGAAAAAGTACAGGGCGGCACGGATTTTAATCCATCTCCAGCATACTCTTCCAAGCTGGCGCCAGACTTTGCTGCTCGGGACGTCCACAGGGAAACCACACGCAAGGTGCCCCCAAAGGTTAGTATAACTTGGTTTAGAACTAATGTACCGTGGATGGTTTATCCCATTATAATATATTATAATCCCATTTAGAGTGTTGCATAGTCACCAATAGTCACCAACTGGTGGAGGATTTTGTCCATTCAGTAAGAGCTCCAGAGGACGGCGGCAGTTCAAGGGTTTCAAAGCGGAATTCTAAAGCAGCAGTGAAGGGGCAGGTATCATATGATGTGTAAAGCCAATAGTAAACCCATCCTCAAAATCAATGGGAATTTCAGGATCCTAAAATGGAGGTACTGTACCGTATAAGGCCATATTTTGTGGGGATATCCCCTTACATGTAATGTCAACCCCGGATTAATAAACCATTGTTTATTTAGTTTATTAATTGTGGGGGTACCCTCCAAATAGTCACAATATGATACATAAATGGTATCCCCCCAATTAAACAGCCGTTTGGGGTTTATTAATCCAGGGTTGACATTAAACCCAATAGTAAACCCATCCTCAAAATCAACATCAATGGATTGTATAAACCATCCCGAAATGCTGTATTATTGGGTTGCCCACAATAATGGGGATATCATAGCGATACATTATGGGATATCATCGATACAATGGGTCAATGGGACAAGCGATTTCCACGAAGCGTCTGTCTGGTTCATGCTCCATATGCCAGCCATATATCACAATTCCAATCTTAGATACCCTACAAGAAATCTTAGCTGGTGAACGTAGATAATACCTTTGATACCAAAAGACTAGTTAGGATTAGTTTCTACCCATCCAGCCGATTGACCTAGATCACTGGGGTATATAATTTCTTAATTAACCACTGTCACTGTCTGGTATTGACATCCACGTATTTGGCGAAGCCCCAAGCACCTAAGTATCGAATCGACCGACAAACCATACTCGGGATAAGATGGGATAAGGGTTTCACTAACCTCGCTGCGTTTTTTCCAACAAAGCATGGGGAGTGCCATGAAACCACGGGGGTTACCAGGGTTACGAGGGTGATCTGAGCCATAGTCCAATATCCAACTAATGCATGTTCACTGGATTGTAATCTATGACCTTATCTTCTGTTTAGATAAATATAAGCACTTTGAAACCCTGCAATCTGCTGAAACAACTCCGGTGATTCTCAAGCAAAGCCAGAGTCTTACAAGTCAATTTCACTCAAAACCAGACACAGCTCCGGTTGAACCAATCGCTGCAGCGCCAAGCGCCAAGGGCTGAGGTTGGGCCAAGATTGACAACTCAGACTTCTTCAAATAACTATACTAAGGTGATGGTTAAACAATTAGTCATTGTACTAGCAAGCTAGACTTCTTCAAATAATGCTAAGGGGAAATCGCCATACATGTGCATCTCTCCATCAGGTAAGTCGGGATTGAAGAGCACACCACGTCCAGCAAAGGGATACGCTTTCATGTAGGCCGAGATCCTCGTGGATGGGTGAAGTAAACTTTTGGGAACATGGGGATTCAACTTGATTCAACCAATATAGTGGGGATATATGGTTACACACATATATATATGTATGTATGTATGCATGCATAAACTGCATAATGGGACATGACTATAATCACCAAAAACATGAGATAGACTGGAATCAATGTAGGGCAAAAATACAATTTAGGCTGGTCTCAAAACGGGAGATGAGGCCCCAGTTCAAAGCAGTTTTAATGGGGAAAATGATAATCAGCTATGATATTTTTTTTGTGGGATGTAAATTGTCGTAGAAACTATGAATGTTCATATAATGCAGCAATGGAGGATGGATATTCATTGGCTTCTTCAAGACTTCACTGGGGTCCTGGTGAGGATTCCAAAGAAGGGAACCATATCCTAACCAGGAAGAGTAGCATTGTCAGTAATTCATACTTGTAACTTCCAGGTACACCAGCCATTTACCAGCCATTTACCTGGGAAAATCAGCTTTCAACTGGGCACCTCCAAGGTTGTCACATGACAGTGGTGACCTTGAAAACAGATCGCTTCAGCATTGGGTTTGGTCAAATCCATGGGGTCCCCCATCCTCATTTTCCTAGATTCAAATCCTTGTCTATTGAATGGGTAAATCCTATGTTCAATGGGTAAGTACTAGCATATTTCCATATATTTCCCTATTTCAGAACAAACTGATAAAAATCCTCTTGGTCCAATCGAGCAAATTGCGATCGCGGCTTCCCCAAGAAGCCACCCGTTCTGATTCAACGAGAATTCAACAGTGAAACAACATTGACATCTTCCCAGATTACCCAGCCACCGAGCCACCCTGAAAATCAACAAACCTCTGGTCTTCAAAAAGAAAAACAAGAACTCATAGCAAGGGAAAGACAACTATGGTATGTTGTTACAAGAGATTACTTTTTAATACCAGATCTTAGTGCATTTTTTTTGGTATCTCTGTTACTGGCACAAAGATTGAAGATTACTCTCTGGCATTTCAACATAGCAAGGGAACAATCACCATGTTATCGGGGAAATCACCCAACTACATGGGCCATGGGAAATCTCGGTTTCTCCACTTCGCAAACGGTTGAATTACCAAAAAGTGATCCAACTTTACTCGGTTAATCTATGGTTAATGGTTCATCAGAGGGTAACTCACTATTTCTATGGTTTATATATGGATAATCTATGGTTAATGGTTAATCAGCACTTTTGACCAACACCCAGTCACTTTGTCTCGTCCGGCTTCTCTGCATAGCTGTACTTCAAGTAGACGGATCCCTCGATACTCTCGTCCAGAGGCTGATTGTCGGGGTCCACGACCTGCTGGGTACAATGTGGCATCCCACTTGTATCGCCCATTGTTGGGTAAAGTTTGCTTAACATTGTAAAAATGTATAGTACATGGATGCTAACGTTGATAAACAATTATAGTTTGCTTACCATCCCAGTGTTTGGTGGTTAAAACATCTTAAAACCAAATTCTCCTCAGGTAAAGCTACACTTTTCTTGCCTCGTTTATGCCTAGTTTCCCATTTTTGTAGTGAAATTCACGTTAATGCCTTGCATTTTTCTTGGTGCACTTCATAGCTGCACTTCATCACCTGGAATCCCTAGGATCC